AAGCGACCAGTCTCGGTCTCGTAACTCTGTCGCCTGCCTCGGTCGCTTGTCTCTGTCGCGTGCAGCCAAATTGTACCTTTAAGGTTACGCTTCAGTGCTGCAGCCTGGTGTATAGACAGCGTTGTTAGACGGTGCGCAGACTGGCACTCTGTTCAATGCGGGTTACTTTGCGCACTTGTCTTACAGATGTCCTTGGATGATTGAACTATCTTCCCCTGAGGCGATTTGTTTTGTCCGATGTCAACTTGTCAAACAGAAACCGGTATTATTACGTACGTGTGCGGACTGAATGACTGGACTTCAATCCCCGGCAGGAGCAAGGATATTTTTGCAACGGTGGAGTACCATGGAGTTTGAAGTTCAGCGGAAGGAAGACATGGAGACTGTCAGTGAAGAAACCGTGCGTTCGAGTGCCGTACGTCCGTCGATGAAGACCGAGGGAATGCGTGTTTACTTTCCCACACACAAAATGTAATAACAGAAACGAAAGCAAGTAGCCTGCTGATTTAGGTTTCTATTGTGGATTACCATGCTTCGAAACTATCGGGTTACCGCTGTTTTAATTCCATCGAATGGTATGTAGCGTCTCTGGTTAAGCAATCTTAGAATTAATTAAAGGAGCTGATAGGTCGAACAGTTCGTTTCATTTTTCCGCGCTCCAAATGCCGGATCGTTAGGGCTCAGCAACGACGCACGTCTCCAAAAATACATTTCGTTACGTCACAAGAATGACGTCGCAGCTCGTGGGATGTTCGATGCTCTGACACTCACTCAATAGGAGCACAGGACGGGCCACTCCGTCGCTTCTGATTGCGAGCCGACCGGAACCACACACTCGCCCCAGCGTCCGTCACCTTGAACACAACGACTAAACTAAGGTTCAAATATAAATCCTTGAAACGCTTATGTAGGCGTTCTTTACTGTCGGTTCCAGTTGTGTGAAATTCCTTTTCGTGTTGGCCTCCGCGGCCAAAAAGTAGGGCTGCAGGTAACACCGAATGTTTTAAAAATTATTAACTTGAACAAAATTATACTTTCGGTTTGTTATGAGTAGGGTATGTATTATTTAATTTTAATATGAAGTAGAAAGTTTTATTTTACATAAAATAAAGGTTTTCTCATAACTTATTTAATCTACTAAACTTACGTTTCTTACGATAATTTCCGTGTGTCTGAATGCGTCGTTTAAGCAGCAAGTGAGTACATTTGAAAACAAATTATTTCTGAGCCCGAATAATATGAAATTAATGCATCATGTATTCTTATGACTTGGTTACATGTGTGTATCCCCTTTGATTATAATTTTGTTTTCATTGAAGAACTCGCAATCTGGTCGAAAACACTTCTTTGTCTCAGTGCGAATTGTCCGTCCAGAAAAGCCATTCCTCTTTGTTTCACTGACGTCATCTTTTTCTGGAAAAGAAAATTTTTATGTTTTACGACGTCTGTGCACAAATTTCACTCTGAAGGCCTTGCCTTACTTTTCTTATACTTTTTTCCTTCAAAAAACGGGACTTGGGTTGTCTTCGTTGCAGACTGAATCAGTACAAAATCGCGTATTAAAATGTCCTGTGTTTCGCTTGTTCCAAGTGCCTTGCTGTGTTTCGTTAACTGATCGGGAATTTCAGTGACATTTAGCACCAGGGATTATGTGTGTATCCCCTTTGATTATGATTTTGTTTTCATTGAAGAACTCGCAATCTGGTCGAAAACATTTCATTGCCTCATTGCGAACTGTCCGTCCAGAAAAGCCATTCCTCTTTGTTTCACTGACGTCATCTTGTTTTACGTTTTACGGCGTCTGTGCACAAATTTCACTCTGAAGGCCTTGCCTTACTTTTCTTATATTTTTTTTCTTCAAAAAACGGGACTTGGGTTGTCTTCGTTGCAGACTGAATCAGTACAAAATCGCGTATTAAAATGTCCTGTGTTTCGCTTGTTCCAAGTGCCTTGCTGTGTTTCGTTAACTGATCGGGAATTTCAGTGACATTTAGCACCAGGGATTGAACGGGAAATGCAAGTAGACCGAAAATACGTGTAACATATTGACCAGTCGAGCGACTTTCATCTTCATGCGATTCTTTTGCAGAAGGAGACGCCGTCCGACGTGCAGCTTCACCTGGCGGCTATCCAGGGTGACGTACAGCTCTTGGGGCGCGTTCTGGACAGCGGCAAGGTGCACGTCGACAGCAGGGACAAGGTACGTATCGCTGTGCCAGGCGCGTCGCGTCGTACGTGCGAGTAGGATCAGAAAATGCCTTGCTATTTTCCAGTAGCTGATGAGCCTGTGTTGGCTCAAGCCCTCTGATGTTGTCTGAATTAAACTCGTTCATGTGCGTCACTGATCGCGAAGGTCGTAGTCCACACAACACCAGTTAAATTCTGGTCTGTGTCAAGGTCGCAGATCGCACAACAGAAGAACGGTCTAATTCTCTATTACGACGTAGAAATGTCTATTATAGTAAGGGCACGTGAACTGTGCTTGGTGCATTCGGTGGAAATGAACAAATGAAGGCAAAGGAAAGAGAATTAATTGTGGCTGAGCGCCACCTAATGAGTAAGTTTAGGAGGAATGGAGGTTGTAGCTACGCTTGGTGTGTGTTTTTACTCAGGATGGCATGACGCCCCTCATCCTCGCAGCTGCCAGTGGCCATGTGGACTGTGTGGTGGAACTGCTGGATCAGGGGGCTGACCCCAAGGCCAGGAGAGTAGTAAGTACCATAAAGGACCTGACTTGTGAATTGTCGGGTGGAATGTGACCATTCTTTTCTGCTGACCCCAAAGGTGTCCATTCTGCTGCAAGGATTTAGAGGACCTCTACAACAGAAGCAGAGCTAAGACTTGTTTTGGCCTGAGCATCAAGTCACTTGTGGACACACGTGAATTTCTAAAATAATTTAAGTTCTGTTGGAAAGTTTTTTAAGTCGATGCAATTCAATATTCAGTGAAAATTTAAATATCGCACTGTATGTATGGTGACAATGTGCAGTGACCATGCATTAAGTAAAGAGTCCATTGATCTGAAAGAGCTGGAACTGTTTCAGAGAGTTATCATGTGCAAGATTTATCTCAGGGAGGTTATACATTTAATTATAAGAGGATGAAAGAAAATGTAATTGTGCATTTAGGTTGACAGTCTATCTGCACAACTATTCTTGATTATAGTTTCAATGCTTTTTAAGAATCCACCAGATGTTTCAACCTTAGTTTGTCATCTTCACTCGGTTCTCTTTACGTGTTGGAAATTAATCGGTTTGACTACACATTTTCTGTTGTTGACTTCGTCATGTATTGGACTGGGTCTTAGGAAGCTTATGTCTTTTAGTAAAGTGGAATCTGTAGGTGTGGTTACCAGTGTTAAAGTTGTAGCTATATAATGTTGGATGTTCTAAAACTAATATTGATTCCTTTGTTTTATTAAGAGTTTTGTGATTTTTCTGGTCTGCTGTCCCATATAAGTAAATGTAGCTCATTTTTAGGCCTGTATGTTACCATCCTACGTAACCCCCCCAACCACCTAGCTCTTCCCCTCAACATCAACCAACCTCTTCAGTTAAGCCAAGTTTTCCACCGGTAACTACGCCCGCATAGTCCGCTCTTCTAAAAGAGGCAAGCTGTTTAAGACATACTCCATCACCTGGCGAAGTTAACAACAGAATAAATTAGCAGTAAAATCTAATAATTTTGAACACTTAAAGAGAACCACCTGAAGATGACCAGTGAAGGTAGAAGCATGCAGTGGATTCTAAGTAAACATTGAAACTATAATCAAGAATCGTTGTGTAGACAAATTGTCAATCTGACGTTCAATACGCAATACGATGCATCCCCGAAACCTCGTGATTATGCCACTGCAAGATTTCTGTCGCCAATACATGAATAATAAAGATAATAAAGTGCACGAGGAACCTTTATGTTCCGAAATAGAACTTTTCAAAGAATTATCAATTGCCCTTTGGAGTTAGTGAATACATGCAAATTGTGAGACTACTGCTTTAGACATTGGGGTTCGATGCAGCTGCCTGAAGGCGTTTTGTTGTGCTCAGACAGGTACCACTGCACTGTTCTTTGCTGCTCAGGGTGGCTTCCTTGACATTGTTCAAATCCTGCTGGACAGAGGTGCGCCTGTGGATTCATCAAGTATGGTGAGTGCAGACGTAAAAAATAACCTTAATTTGAAATTCTGAAACTTGCTACACATCTCCATGCAGTATAGAACACTGTATTTACCTTTGTAGACTCTGTGATCCTCTCGCATTGTGCTTAGGCACAGGGATACATTTTCTTTTTTACTTTTTATAACAGCCATGTCACCTTCCAAGCTCTTTTCAGTACTATATAACGTTTGCAGCTGAGACAGTGTCATTAAATCAATTCAGAATCAAAGTCCCTTTTCTGCCTTACAAGTGGCTAGTTTCTTGGAGATTCCTACAGAATTATGTATGCACTTTTTTAAATTTATTCCAGTCTTTCCCTCAACCACTTACATTAAACTAACCCTATGACATAATTCTATGATTTTATGCTAATATATTCAGTCCCCACTTAATTTTATGTGTGCCCAAGTACTTCCGTCAGCACTCGGTTTTCATATCACTTCAAGAGGTTTATCTGTGCGCAGGACGGCGGAACTCCGCTGTTTGTGGCCTGCCAGTGTGGTCACATGGACGTGGTCAAGGAGCTTGTCGCTCGAGGAGCGAAAGTCAACAGTCACATGAAGGTACATGTTTCCAGCCCTTGCGCTGTTTGTGCAGATAATTATCTGTATCACCTGCCTAAAAAACATATATGAACAGGTCCCAGTCCGAGAAAAGGATGGAAGGATCCTGTTCATAATATGTCGCCAACCTCCTGTAAAGGAGACGGTGTAATAAAGAAGAAGTCAGAATTTGGGTATCAGTGCAATGTTTTGTTCCTTCACATACACTGTACTTATTTGAGGTAAAAAGTAGTTTGTAAGATCCTAGAGTTCTTTGTTTCTGCTGCAGAATACTCCTCAACAGAAAACTGTCCTATACATAAGACTTGAAAGGGCTAAAATGAAATAAATTTGGTTGAGTGTGTAAACACATCAGTATGTGGGGTTATTTGCCCCTGTCAAACAGCCACAAATGTGTGTTGATCTTCCAAAAGTAAAAATTAATTCCACATTTGACAGTCAAAAAATAATTTGATACTGCCTATCAAAATATAACTTGACTAATAGAGGCGCAGTTAAAACCTAGTCATAGTCTGCGTAAATGTAATTGTAGGAAGGGCCATAGACTGCATGGTCATAAGCTAACTTTTTTACTACGCTCATCTAATTTCTTAGCAGACATTGACTTTTAAAAGTCAGGCTGTTTTTTAAGCATGTCACTGGTATACCTAGATGGTGTACAGTAGACGTGGCACACATTGCATCATGTAAAATGGCTTTGTGATCACCATGTTGGGTTCTAATCCATAAAAACAATTTTAGTGTACTCTAGAATGATGACCGTATCTTCGGTCCATGGCCTCCTCAATTCTCCTCTTCCATTCGGTCCTCTGTTAGGTCTGTCTGTCCGAGGCTTTGATTGAGGTTTCGATTTTGAGATTTGTAATTTTATAAAACCCACATGTTAGGTTGGAATTCAAAATGAAAGTAGCTGTTAGGGAAGGTGCTACAAGACGATGCCGCTGTGATGATAAGAATGCTGTGTGTGTGCAAACAGGATCGTGCCACCCCATTGTTCATTGCATCGCAGAATGGCCATTTCAAAATACTTTTGTTGCTGCTGGCCCACGGAGCAGTTCCAGACTCAAGGCGCACGGATGGTGCCACTCCACTGTGGATTGCAGCGCAGATGGGACATGATCATGTGGTGAGGCAACTGCTCAAGGTTGGCGCTAGTGTTGATGCTTATCGCTATGTAAGTTTTTTGTAATTAAATTTAAGTTTTTGGTGCAGATGTTGAATGGCCCGCCAGATGCCAGTGCGATGATCTGACGGTGACAAACTATTGAACTAACAACAACGTGTTGTCGTGTCTCGTTAACCGCTGACCATGAATCGGTCTATTTAAGGGCAGGATGAGAATATGTAAGAACCTCTAGCGTCCTTGCTCTTTAAGAACATCGTTTTTAAGTTTCACTTTTGGATTTCAATAACATGACTTTGTTACCTTATATTTTAATATAATTAAATGAACAGAGCATACATTGACATTTTGATATGAGGTGGAATGCAGAGAAGCGTTTAGCAGAATTTAAATCCGTAAATGATCCGTCACCATCTTCAACAGCCTGTATCTCTGTTTTTGTCCGGGACCATTAAGGGGAAGATGGTGGCCAGTCCGTACACTTAAAAATAGTAATTTGTTTTATTTCCACAGAATTAGAAATATGATGTGTTAAAGAAAGTTGTTTCTTTAGTCTTTTATATCTTTGGCGTTATTCTCACATTTGTGTGTTATGATAATGAAGTCACTCCAAAGAAAATATGCAAATTTCAATCTACTGATTTAGTTTAATTTGGTGATGCTGTTCAGAAGTTAATTTTCATACGAATTGAAGGATCTTGAAATGACTTTTCAAAAGTTGTGTTTATTCTTAATCTGGGCTTTTCGTGAAACAAACTGTACTGGAATAATGAAAGTGCTTCTTTATTGCAACAGTATTAGGAATGTGTGTTTGTGTGTTTTTCCATTGAAGAATCTTCTATTAATCTGTACAGTACCAGGTTTTAAAATCCCTTTATCCCTTTTTGGCCTAACATAAATCCCAGTTGCACTATGCAGTGCATGTTATTTGATAAAACATATCTTTCTTGAGAACCCACTTACAGCAATGAAATAAATTAGACATAGTTCAGGAGAATTTATGTCACCACTGGAAACCATTGCTCGAGCAATTATTCTGCAAGATTTCTTTCATTGTGAAGGAATATCACTGTATTTATATTTTCAGCTATCATTGGATTCTTATTTTGAAACATATTTTGATATTATTAATGTGTTTACCTTAAAATCTGAATGCATCGTGTAAACGTTTCTCTTCCCTCACAAGCAACTGGAGATATCTTTGTTCCTGCCATACATGCTCACAAAGATAGGTTAGACCAATTTTTCTCCCCCATACTGCCGTCTGCCATTTGAGGGTAAGTTTCTCTTGGTCCAGTTTCCGACACATAGAAACCCACAGTAAAGCAACACTGCCATTGCTTTGTGTTCCATGTGCTTTTGCTCCAGATGGGACAACTGGGATAATTTTGGATTTGGATTTTATTTCCTCTCATTGTATTCCCCTTCCATTTACGTCCCTATCTTCTGCTGCAAGGAAAAGTTGAACACTTTCTCTGATGCGTAGATTTGTAGGGCTATAACTCGGATAGGAAGCATTTATGGACCAATGTCTATATGACCTTCATTCATCCTTAGAATTAATGGAACAGGCTCCCAAAGTTTGGCCATATATTTCAGGACCATTCTGTATTTGCCTCCTCATGTCTCTTATTTGAAATATTTTAAATGTTTATACCTACATTTGAAACAGAGCTTTGCTCTGACATGTGGATATCTGCATGTGCTTTGCAGGATGGTGCCACAGCACTGTTCAAAGCCTCACACAAAGGACACTCCAGTGTTGTAGAAGAATTACTGAAGTACCAGCCATCTCTTGGACTTCTGCCTGTAAGTAGCAAAATAAACGTTGCTGAGGTTACGTGCACACAAAACATGTATATTAATAAGATATAACATCGGTGCTGTAGATTTGTATTCAGGAGGCATATGGTTTCAATTTCAGTTGGACTGTCGGCTGTCCTATTGTTTTCATAATTTTCCTCAGTCTCTACAGGTGAAGATTGGGTATACACCTTCGCATAGGACATAATAATCTTTTTCCAAATCTTTACCAGTTATCATACATGATAATCGTTTTTTCATCTCATTTGGCATTATGTAGCTTGTGCATTGAAATAATGTCATTAAATTATTCATTAGTTATTCATTTCTTCTTCTTCTTCTTCTTCTTCTTGGAACTACAGTTCAAAGTTGAACCTTGGCCTCTTCAATCTTTCACCCGAGGCTTAGCTTGAAGTTTCGAAACAAATCTTTGTTTTACGGATTGAGGTTGTCAGCCTCGCGTCCAACCCTCAACAATCCTGAGGGAGTGATGTTTTTCTGTCGGGGTTGTCTCCCTTAGCTGGCCGGTCCCAACTTGGACATGCACGCATTGGACTTTGTAGGAATGAATGGCATTTCCTAAGTTTTTAATGGTACATATCTGCCAGCAGGATATGTACCCTTGAGACAACATACTACCCCTTTGGCTATTCATTTAATGACCTCAATTCTTTGCTTATTTCTAGACTATGTAAACTTCTTGAGTTAGAGGGGGAACAGTTTAATTGTCACCTGCCCTTCTGTCGAGTACTGAATTGCACACAGACTGCATGAGGTCCATAAACCTGACTTCATGTGGTCCTGTTGCAAACAAGTTTTAATTCTGTGATAAACCGCCTGTAACCGAACCCTTACGATCACCAGAGATATTTGTTGTAAGAAGACAAACGCACTAAAATGTCACTTACTTTGTATCAGAATGGGGAAAGTGCTCTGCATGCAGCGGCCCTGTTTGGCCATGTTCCGATAGTGAAACGGCTGATATCTGCTGGAGCAGACCTGATGCTAAGAAATCAAGATGGAGTCACGCCGATGCAAGTTGCCCAAGAAGCCAAGCAGTATGCAGTTGTTGAGTACCTGTCCAGCTTATTGGTGGAACGAGTTAATGGGACACCCCATAAACCATCGTAGTTGGGTCTGACGTTGTGCTAAAGGTGGTGGGAATTCTTAAGTTAACAACATTCAGAATGCAAAATGCCAATATGAAGTCAGTAATGACCATTCATAGAATCGGTGTATGTTGTACTGACAAAGCTGCCACACTTCATATGGGAAAAACTGAATTACCAAACCACAGAATCAGAGACATTAGCATGTACGATGAGGCAATTAATTAGTGTCCAGTGAAATTAAGTTGGTCACAGTGATCGCACCGTCTGAGGCGTGGGCCTCGTGCTCTTGGACACTGGGATTTGTGGGTTCAAATCACACTCAAGGCACGGATGTTTGTCAGTGTCTTTCTGTGTTGTGATGTCCTGTGTGCAGGTAAAGGCCTTGTGACAGGCCGATCGCTTGTCCAAGGAGTCCTACCAAATGTCTAACTCAGTGGTCCCCAACGCGGTGCCCCCGGGCACCATGGCTCCCACCAAGGGTTTTTTGGGTGCCCGCATTGCTACGGAAAGAGGTTATACTGAATAATGAAGGCCGTTCAACCATGAACATCATAAAATCAAAGCACAGATCTCGACTTACTGACGCCAATCTTGATGATTGTTTGTGAGTAGCAACATCATCCTACACTCCCAAATTTGAAAAACTGGCCAATCAAATGCAGCGCCAAACATCACACTAACTTCCCACTTGAGTAATAATAATAATAATTGTACTTATAAAAGTACGTATTTTTGTTTGCATGGTTTCTTGTATCATTAAACGTGTTGTTTTGTGTATTTCTTGGTGTTCATATCTTATTTGTCCAGAGAAAAGAAAACTTGGCTTTGTTGATTGGTTGGTGCCCGCCACGATCTCATAAACTCTCAAATGTGCCCTTAGGCACAAAAAGGTTGGGAACCACTGGTCTAACTGATTACTGAAACCTTTTAAAAATAGAGGCCTTATGCCTCACATAGGAGTGAAAAGGGGAAAAAGAAGAAATTAATTAAAGTTGGAATGAGAGGATGGACTAATGCAATGTGAACACAACACAGCATGAGAAGGGAATTTTGCTTACCAAGTAATGTCATGGATAAACACCAGTTCTTCAAAGTGATGCAGGAGGAGTCTGGCAGTCTTTGTGTGTTGGTTAATTTGGAAAAGTCAGTGAGTCATGTTAGTTTGAAAGAAATATAAAGTTATTTAATAAATAAAGGGTTTCCATGATAAAATTCACACTAATTTCAATGTGAAGTTGAAATGATGCTTGATTTAAAAATGAAATATGTTACAAAAACAGAAACTGTTTTGAGTGCCTGACTTCAGTGCACTACAGTTTTATCATGAAGTGTATATTTAGTAGGTGGACCAGGGACATTACAAGAACTCTTTGGGCCACCGGCATACTTGGAAAAGTGTTTTGTGTACTTGCCATTTTAATATAATATGCAAATGCAATATCAGAAAATGAATCTCATTTAAAATACTGTTACAATGTACTATGATGGATATATTTTGAAATACAAGTATAGATAATTTATTAATAAAGTGATCATTATTTATGTACATATTATGATAATACCATTGCTTTTAACAGAGCACAGGTCGCATATGTTGTCTCAGACTGTACAAATTCTATAATCATGTATATTGTGATTGTCATCTTGATTAGCAACACCAGTTTATTTCATTAAAATTATGGATTTATAAATATTAAGGACAGCAGTGTGGAAACAAAATGCAAAATATACAGTTTATAAAACTGAGGTTAGGTCAAATCTCATGGGGCCACATCGTTGGAGATTACAAAGGTAATGTGTCATACCACCACATTTTAAATGGAACCGGTAGTATCAATACCCCTATAAAGGCATTAAATAGCTGTTTTTTCTTTCTTTCACATTTTGACCTGAAATAATTATGAATGATATCATTAAAATCAATATTTTCAAAAATGTGATTTTCAGTTTACAAATCTTGTGCATGTGCACAAATCTTGTAGAATTATTATATTAGTCTGTGGTTTTGGGGTAAATGCAGATGATTCATAAACAACAAAAAATAAATGAGGAAGTTTACGTATATGCTGTGTTTGTTTATAATGTCATTTCAAGTGTAGAATCTAAATTTTTGTGGCTTTCATGGTAACTTCTATTCAGTTTATTTGATATCTGGACAAGCAACCTATTTTGTGCTTTGATTTTCATTCCATGAGGTTCAACACAGGACATTTTTCATTGAAGTTTACCCAATCGTAACTGTTCAATATGCATTTCAGCAAGGGAATGCTGGATTGATTTGTTTAGACGAAATGTAAAGTGATTAAAACCAATGTCACGTCAGACTTTCACATGAGTAGAAAGTTTCTCAGCAGTTCCATTCAAAAGTACAATCACTTTACATTCATACACTTTCAAAAGTGGAGATGTTTCTTTGCATTATCATTTGTGTAGTTCGTAAATCTGAGCTTTCAGTGCTGACAAGAAGGTAATTGTATTCTGAGATATTGCACTGTTTAGTCCGGTAGAAATTGACTGACATTTCAGAAGCACAACTCTGAAACATCTGTCAATTTCTACCGGATCGCTGTATCCTAAAAGACCACCATTTTCAGGTTTCTTAAATTGATTTGTAGCTAACGTTATGTCTTAAGAAAGGGGCAGGAGAAGGAGGATAGGTAAAGGAACTTGGATGGTAAGTAGTGCTCCTGACTGACCGTCAGAATGTTGTTACAGACAGTAGTTTTACAATGAATGTGGATAGATGGCAGCAGAATTACATTATATCGTAGCTACATCCGTTGGCAACTTTTTAGGTAGTTGCGATTGAGGTTGTGTTATCGTTTTGTATGTTGGGCAGTCTGTGCGAAATATGTTAAGTGTGTTTGCATTTCATTTTATGATGATTCTATTAACTGCTTGCATATTGGTCAATGCAGAACATTGCTGTGAGGTTTGTAAATTTAGGCAAAACCCGGGTGCACTTTGAACAGGTTCACAGATGGAGTTAGTATGGCTGTGGGGATTATTCTGTGCGATTATTCGTAGTCCACCAGTGACGGTTGTGTGGTTTTAGAGACTAACAGTCTTTAATGTCAGCTCAGTGTGTTTAGTTGTGCTTGTGCCTGTAGAATTTAGGGATTGGGTATTTGTGAATTTCGGATCGTATTTTGTAGATTGGAATAGTCGAAAAAGCAGTTGGTTATATAAATCTTCATATTTTCTTATTCTGAGTAGCTATTTTCTTGCCTTTGTATACGCCATTAAGTAGGCCCAAGGCAAGAAGGGGTTGTAATTTAAATGGACAGTTTGCGCTGAGGATACTGTTCTTGATATAAACGCAAAGATAGCGATTATGTTTCGTCATCAGAATAAATAGCAAAAGAAAATACAAGTCCTTAGAAAATGTGGCCAAGTTCAGTAATAAATCAATACTTCGCGAAGAAATGGAGCGACAGTAACAAATCAGAATTTAATTCATGAAGAAATTAAGAGCAGAATAAATTTCGGTAAGACTTTCCACCATTCGGTTCAGATTCTTTTGCATTCCTACTGCTAGAAAACTTGAACATTTTATGGACATTTATTTTAGGCGTTTTTTACGACAGTTTTTAACTTTGTCTGTCACTTAGGTTAAAACATGGATTATGAGTGAGAATGGGATACTGATGAGAATGTTTGGAGCTAAGTGAAAAGAAATTGTTGGAGGATGGAGAAAGTTGCTATATGAGGGGCTTCATAATTGTAGAACACACCAAGTATTGGTATCAAATGGAGGAGGAGGAGGTGGAGGAGGTAGTTGAGGTATGTATAATACATAACAGGGTTTTGCTAAATCTGAAGGGATGACTTGGAAGTCCTAGGCATAGATGGGAGAGTATTAAAATGGAAATTAAAGAAATAGGATGCAGGGTATTAATTGAATTCCTGTGACTCAGGATAGGGTGCATTTGTGGGCTTTTATGAAAACTAATGAACTTTTTACATTACAGAAAGTAGAATTTCTCCAGTAACTAAGCATCTTTTAGGTTCATGAGAAGAGCTCTGCTGGTTGTGATTAGTTAAATTACTTTTTATGTGTAAACCATACTACATTTTAAGAATTACAGATTGCAATAAAAGTTAAATTGTGTGAACTCTGCAGATTTTCAGTGGCTGTGATGGTTGTACGACAAGTTCGTGTTTCAGTGATTGTGTAATCTGCTTTATTAAGTGAGTGTGATAGGTTGTTACAAATGTTTAAACTTTATGCAGGGCTCAATTTGAACTAGTGAATTTTCTGCTGCATCAACAAGGAATACCATGTCTACAACAGCAGGAGATGAAGACTCAAGTGTTCGAGTGGCTGTCAGGTTGGTTCATCAGCTTTTTGTTAATTTTAATCTGGATTACATGGATGATGGATATTGGGTGTTGTGGTCCAGGTACTGTTGCAAATAATCAATGAATTCTGATCCATCTCTAGGAGATTGGTTCTGCAAAATTTAAGTACATCATGAAGATTACCTGTTCAGAGAACACCATTTGCCAGCATAAAGTTGTAGGACACCCAGAGTATTAGAATAGAATAGTATTTATTTACATTCCATTTATTCTTCATAGGCCTAAGCCAAGGATGTAGAATATGTCATAATACAAATACAATACAGCAGATTAAATACAAATTTTTAACAGCTGTTTACAAACATGTCTGATATAATACAGTATTATACTATAAAATAATTGTATCAATAAATCATCATGTATGTATGTAATAACTGACAATTGTTGTTTAAAGTAAATTCTTCTACTGTGTAGATACTGTAAGTGATACTTAGCCTAAATACTTTTATGTCACAATGTAAACTTTTTATGCTAGGAGGAAGATTATTGAATAATTTAATTCCAGTGTAGTAAACTCCTTTTTCATATTTGCTGAGGTTAGTTTTTGGCACATGAAGGTTATGTCTTGTATTTTCATTATGCACATCTGAGTTCGTTTGAAAAATTTCCGTGTTGTCCACAACAAATGATAATGAAAATAAGAATTTTCTGGCAAGTGGGAGAATATTAAACTTCTTAAATAATTCTCTACAAGAGACTCTCCTTTTAACATCTGTCATTATTGTAATGACTTTCTTTTGGACATGAAATACTTTTTTCTGTCTGGTGAATTTTCCCAGAATATTAATCCATATGACACAATGGAATGGAAGCAAATTAGATTAATTTTAAAGTTTATTTTTTCTATGATTGTTAAGAAGAGTTTGCTATGAGTTTATGACTCTTTATTACATTGTCATTTTTATTTATTGATGGGGTGTTCTGTTGAATATTTACTTTGTTCCCTTTTAACAATTTTCCAGACCGATTTTACTTGATCATCAGACTCCGGTGCCTGTCTGTTGTAATGCATACATTTGGCGTCTTTAATGATGTCAGTTGAAATTTTAAAATATTTAGTGAAGTGAATTTTCCTTGTTATGTTGCTCGCCAGTTAAAATTTTGAAATATTTCCTGAAGTGAATTTTCCTTGTTATGTTGCTGCTAGATTTAGACTTTGTTTATGTTTACAAGATGTTCTGCTGCGTTTTGTTATTCATTCATTATTATCAAACACCCTTTGTTCTGTTTTGGTGGGAAAACTTGTTTCATAAGTTCTTAAGATGTTCAGGAATGTGTTATATTTCAATCTGCATCATGTTTGCTTGATACTGATTCCCAATTTTCATTACTTAGACTGTTGTAAATTCTTTAATAGTGTTATTATTTATAAGTCTTATTTTGTATCCAATAATTGTGACCGTTGGAAATTGATTTTTATGTTTTTCATGACCAGAAGATGAACATCGTGATCATGTAGCCCATTTACCACTCATCCAACAGAAATATGATCTTTCCTGAAACTGTTTATAAAACATTATCATTATTAAGTGATGTTAGTAGGGAGTTCAGACAAATCTGTGGCAACTTTTCAGTAAGATAATCAATGTCTGTGTTCAACCTCAGAACTTAGTTCACACAAAACACTGTTTTTCAGGTACTGTAATTAAAAATAAATTATATGTAACAAGCAGTAAAACAAAAGTTCGCAGATGTAATTTCACACGTTTGCCAGTTTTGAACAAGAGAAAATGTCAGTAAATCAGAGAATATTACTTCCTCAAAGCAAAAAACACCTACTACCTGGTCTACATTTTATGTGGCTGCGGTCGTGCTTGCATTGCGTGGTCGGCTGGTGCTCCGTTGATATGGGTGGGCGGGTGTTGTGCCCGTTCTTCCGGTGGGTGACCGGCGAATCAGTTTCAGTGCCGCTAGTAACAGCGAACTACGAATATTTCTCGTCACTAATACATGCTATTACATTAATTATTCTTACTTTAAATCACAAAAGGTTCAAAGTGACTTACTTGTGCTTGCAGGCAAGCTTCACATCTCGTTAACATGTTTCGAAATACTCGACGAAGCTCTTCTTGGGAAATTGCCTAATATTTCCTTTAAGTGCTTCTGCAGTGTGCGAATTGTTTACATAAACTTTGTTCTTCAGCATGCCCCACAGGTAAAAATCACGAGTTTTTAAGTCTGGGGAACGCGGAGGCCACAGATCGATAACTTGTTCACCAAGCACTTCTCTTAATGCTGACATCGACCGATCAGCTGTGTGAGCTGTAGCATTGTCTTGCATGAAGAAACCGCAAGTAATTTCTTCATCGGTATTTTCTCGGAAAAAGGGTCTAACTATTAAATTTACATAACGTTCACAATTTATCCGCACACTGCAGAAACACTTAAAGAAAATATTCGACAATTTCCCAAGAAGAGCTTCGTCGAGTATTTCGAAACATGTTAACGAGATGTGAAGTTGCCTGCAAGCACAAGGAAGTCACTTTGAACATCTTTTGTGGTTTAAGGTAAAAACAATTAATGTTAGCCTGAATTAGGATGGTAATGTTTTAATACTAATGTGAAATTTATGTAGTACTTAGTGTTGGAAATAAATGTCTATAGTCTTAGGGAGCAAGCTGTAGCCTCATAGACGAAATATCATATCAGCTGAGTATGTTTAAGCTGACGACAGCATCCTTGTGAACTTGCCTTGCTCCATTCCAAGCCACGCTACCACATTAGTAGGACTATACCTAAATAAATCTATCCAAAATATAACGTTACATTAGCATTTTGGGTGCATAAGCGTATAATTTTTAAACACCTTCTTGGATTTTAGAACCCAGCTTTCAGTTTCATAGCTGTCCAAAATTGAAGGAAAAGATCGTATTTTCCACGCACAGCTCGACGACCCGCACGTCTTCGGAGCGGAAGTTGCAATGCCCCTCCGTCACGCCCAGCCATTCTCTCTCACTCTCGCCCTCATAGTTCCACCTCTTGGTTAATTGGCGCGTTGTCCGGTGGACAGGAAGTTCCGAGGCAAGAATTTCCATCTGATGTGCCAGAATCTTTGTTGCTCTCGTGCTCTCTTCTTCATGGTTGCTTCACTCAATCTTTTATTTCTAGTGATGTCCCATTAATCGTTTGTAGCGAAATGAACAACTTGTAGACCCAATGCGGTTAAAGTCAGCACGCCCTGTTCTTTGACAGCAGTCGTGATGTGCCGTCCCATTGATTTCAAGTGGGCCACCTGCCTCTTGTCACCACAGTCTCCAGCAGTTACAGAAGGGGGGAAAAAGAGTCTGTACCAACTTCATTCTCACCGTGATAGTTTACGGTCAAGATGGCGGCACTTTGGCCGAAAGCTGACTCTGCAGAGAAGCGGGAGGGCTGAGCCCGGCCCGCCGCTTCGCGGTGAAACAGAATGCCGTTCTGTGTGTCAAGGCGGCTTATTACGCCTCTTGAAATGTCAGCCACGCCTTGCTTGCACTACAGTTGATCTGTCTGACGACGAAATCGTTCAAAAACGCGGCGGACGTATGTTACTGGCACGTACAGCAGCACGAGCCATTTTTCTCCGCAAGGTTGTAAACACCAGGGTTTTCCCTGCCGTGACGTGTGGAGGGATTAGGCAGAATAATCGGGTGACATAAGCAAGCGATCGTGGGTCGTCCAGAACAGTAGTACAAGTCATTATTCGGTACAGAAATTAATTTTCCACCAGGTCAAACCGGTTCACATGTTTGGCATACACAGAAACACTTTTTGCCACGTAATGGAAACACCGTGCGCACACTTTCCTGAACAGTTAGTGTTTATGGACAATTGTCTGCAGTTCCAGTGCTTGTGCACGCCTTGGATGCAGTATCAGTCTGAAATATCGCGGTTTCCCAATAGCCTCATCGACACGCAACTCGACAGCTGTCAGATGCACGTGAGCAAATGGTCGGTCAGCGGCTTTCTCTCGGCCTTCGGTAATATTGCACCAATCATACGGACTTGCACGTGTTCACGGACGGATCTTCGCCATTTTAAGCGCTCGACCTGCGGAGAATTTCTACCGGCTGCAGTTTCTCTTTTGTCAGAAATACGATGTTGCATTGTTACAGGCCCTGAAGCCTTCTTGTGCAGATCGTCACGTGAGAACGCGGAGGGTAAAAGGTTGCGAGTGGGAGTGGGGGCAGTGCTCACAAACGAAAAGAGGATTTAATGGGAAAATAAACTTACGAATGAAGAAGGTAATTTTTTTTTAAGAAAAGAAACTGGTATTTGCTACTGAGCCTCCTTCCTTTTCGTTTGCGGCAAGGTCATGCCTGCGCCTGCAGCCGTTGATTGCACGAAATGTAGAAGGTGCGTGATGTGGGGAGAGCGATTCATCCCGCTGTGTTTTGAGTAAAATGGAGCATTGCGACACGGCACGTCGGAATTCTGCTGCTGTCTTGCAGATGGATCCTGCTCTTATCTGGTGCTACGAACATTGCAATAAAATGTAAGACTTGAGGTTCTCACAGCGGTGAGTATGAAGATTTCTGTCTTCTGGGTTATTGCGCAATAACCCAGAAGACAGAAATCTTCATTGCAATAAAATGTTTTCGAAATTCCACCCGTAACTTTAAAGATGTTATTCAGCCGAGTAATTTTGTAAGAGGAACCATAACCACCGCGTACAACGAAGTATTCACGTTGTCTGTCCCTTGGAATTCTTGTGGGAGTTTGCGTTTGTTCCATCTGTTAAAGAAAAGTGTTTTTTTCTCTTTCGACCTTCACGTAATTGCACTCAGCTTGTGTACTTTAGAGTTTGCTTAGAAGCAATAAGACGTAGGCAAATCGAAGCCTCGGGTAAAACAGAAGATCTGCGATGCCGCGGCCACTCCGCTAGACCAAATATTTCGTTTACCAGCAACCGTGAAGGTCGTCGCTTCTGTGTGAAGGTCGGCATCGTTGTTTCGGCATACGTAGTATTGGCGGGAGGTTAAGTGAAACTGTC